TATATATATATCAATTTAATACTTGTTGCAATTGTTTTAATGCATACATGCAAATACTTATATAAAGAAAATATATTGTATATAGTCAATTAGTTTTGCTTCTAGTAAATATTTTTCAGGGAATATTGGAATAACCATTTTACTTCGATCAAATATGACTTGAACGGTAGCATTTTTTTTCTCGGTGTAGAGTCCTTGAAATGAGAATCTAGACATTTCCTACTTTTGAACAAAAATGTCTGGTTTGTCACTAGAATGTTTCTCTCTATCTTTGAAGGAGTTCCACAATATATCGAGTTTAGATATATTTTTCTGAGGATATACACGGGATATACGAGGATATACAACTTTTGAATAAAACACTTTCGGACATAAGTTGAAGTAAACTTTTTTCGTCGAGTCGGCCTCATTAATACATTAAAAAATTTTGGCTCTAACTTTTGTGGACACACTGTATATGATTTATTTTATTGCATATAATACTGTTTATAAAAACAGATTTTTTAATTTCTTAAAAATTAATTCTTTCCATTATTTTATCCCATCTTAGAATAATATTTCGTTACAAATTGAACCATTTTATTAGACAAGTCTTTAGTTCCGCCAACTTTCATCAAATAAGGAACTGGACTGATCAGTAAGAAGTCGGAAATGACTTTTACTTGAGGGACTTCACATACACGTATCACGAAAGTTACCGTTGCACATCACATTGCCGTGGCACCTCCCCGCCCCGTCATCGGCTCGTGTGCCACCGATCGCGTTTCGCTTCGTTCTATTAATAATCGCGTTTTAATAAGTCAGCCTCGCGCGCGCGAGCTGTGGCAGATCTACAGAATGATCATCCTGCGAACCGTAATTCTGTTCTTTATGGTACGGTTGCTGCTGCGCATTAATAGTTTCGCCGCACGCTCGCTCGCGTATACACACAATCTCGTATCTCGGCTATCTCGCCCATCGTTCCTCCGATGTGCCGCGATCGAAATACGGGCCCCGGATAGGTATCGCTCGCGAGAGCGCGTGTGTGTATATGTCTCACCGTGATATTCGAAAATCAAACCTTCGCTCGCCGGGTCTTTGTATTATTCGAAACAATTCGTGTGTTTTTGGCGCGATCTAGTTGTAAACGCGACGCCTCTCTGCGCGGAAAATAAATCTCCGACAATTGTTACGGGAGCAATGAATTTTACGCCGGGTCATTTTTCGCGCAGGATGACCTTCGTCGTAGTCTGATGAGTCTCTGACTCTTTCAATTGCTCGTTTCTTCAATTTTTCAATTCATGAGACATTCAAATTTCCATAAATATGAACATTTGCCGGTATTGACGCGTATCGTATTACCAAAAAAAGAATAAAATAAATATACGCCACGATGAAACGAACGAGCAGAAGTAAATTTTTTGTATTATATTTTGTTTATATACATGAATACGTCGAAACAATATTTAGCGACACGCGACACTGTGCGAAGAGGTAAATATCTCCGAAAATGATAGCGTCGTAAATTAATATTACATAGAGAAATATAATTTAAAGAGAGAGAGAGAGAGAGAGCAAATTTTTTATGCTGCCGCAGCAAGTGAATAAATATACACGGTGTTTCTCAAGAACTACCCAATATTTTAGGAGTTGATTTTTTAAGCATTAGGCTTAGCTGAGCTTTTTAAGGAGTAGATTTTTTAATTATGAAAAAATTAACATATGTTCATATGAACTTTTCTTTATAAAATGGCCTAAATAATGAACTCCTAAAATATTGGACAATGTTTAAGAAACATCCTATATATTAATTCATTTACTACAACGGCATAAAATTTGCTGTTCATCCAAATTACTTTTTTCCGTATATGTGCCGGTTAATTTTTCACGTGAAATAAACGTTATCACTCTCGGCAAATTTATCGACACAATCACGCGTTTCAATTAAATGGAACAATGGAGCAATAATATTTGTCCTGTTATCGATATTAAATGAGATTCGAGCAAATTTAGCGTGCTCGAAGAGGACGCGTGCTCGCGCTTGCATCGCAGAGTAAAACCATTTTTTATTATGATTCCACAGAAATATAATATTCGCCCAACCGACATCCTGCGTAACTTTTATCTGTCCAAATAGTTTTTAATAATTAAATATATAAGAGTCGTAACAGATCGGTCGAAAGATTCTCCGTTGATTAAAGTTTAAACATGATCAAAGACCGAGTTTTCTCGTTTCCATGTCTCATTACATGAAATGAGCCGTGCTAACGATAACTGCTACGTGCACGGAAAAAACCTCAATTCTAACAAATGAATAAAGACCAGATGAAAATTCAGTGACAAAAAATAAAATCTCGATAGACGAGAAATGATATCTCTGTTCAAGGAGGTAGTCAGGATGGGATTCCCTAAAAAAAAATTTTTGACATGGAAAAACAAATAAATTATGAAAATGTTTAGAATAAAGAAATACAATTGATATATTTCTCACAAAAAATCTATAATACATATTCTGTAATTAAAAACCAGTAACAAAGTATTAGCAATGCTTTGTGAAAATAAACGTAATTTCATTTTCATTTCATTTCATTTATTTGTGGGAATTGCTTTTTTTAGTATAAAGATACATAATAATTAACTATAAGAATTTATATATATAAAAGATTTATAACAGCAGATTTGAAGATTGTTAAGGATATATGATTGAAGTCGACATTATTACTTGACTCATTCGCAAGCAATATTAATCTATTTAAGGGTTTAAATTTGCCATAAAGAGTACGATGCAATCTAATATAAAAGAGGGAATAATTTCTTAGGACTCGGGTGGTAACATTGAACGAATGAAAATGTCTCAATTTCACCACCAGACTTCAGTGTCTGCATTACTTGCAATGATTTTGGCGTATTTCGTATTATGTTAGAAAAACCTAATTCCAGACACGCACACCCCGAAGATTCCCAAATGAAGAATCGAAAGTTCGGGAACATAAATAACAGTAAAATTTGTGTATAGATAAATTTTTTCTCCCCACTCCGTCTTTCAACTGGAATCCTGGTTACTCTAATGTCTTTGTTACCGCGACTGAGAATATTCGTATGAATATTCAACCGCATTGAAATTCATTAAAACAACCGAGAGCAGTTGACTGAGTCATAAACTTTCTATAGGAATCTTTTTGTTTCTACACAGAAAAAAAGTGCTAGAATCAAGTAAACGTAAATATTTGTTTTCCAGTCTGTTAAATCAAGTAATATCTTTATCATTTAAGTATATTTTAATAGCTCTTGCAGTAAATACTTACTTGAACGCAATAATATTTTAATTTGTAAATGAATTACCGAATATAAATGCATAAAATGATTCTAAATTCAAGAGAGTATTTATTGCAATTATTTTACACCTCTTTTTTATTAAAGAAACCTAATAGTTTTAAAATCAGATTTTCCTGCCCAGAGTAAATATTTTCTAAAAGTAAATTCTGATATTTTCAATATTATGAATATAATACTTGTCGCAATTATTTTACTACGTATAAATAGATGTCTATATCATATATAATCAATTATATGTCAGCTTCTAGTAAATATTTGCCAAAGAGTATCGGAATAACCATTTTATTTGGATCAAATAAATATTGCTTGAATGGTAACATTTGTTTTCAGTGTTGACAGGGTTTTCGTCTGATTCCCAAGCATCGAAACGTTCATTGACATCAACGAAATTCTTTTCCGTGCGTTGCAAAAGAAATCTCGCGCGACCGGTCTGTCCTGCTCGGACTCTGAGAAACGAGAGATCTCGCGGTTCTTTACGTGCTGTAATATAATCATCAGTAATGTGACTTTTCCCGAATCCGACGTAGGTGGTGAACTCGCTGAAGCCGCCGACGGTGAAGGTGGTCGCCGCGCTGTGCATGGTGCGGAACAGTGTAGGCGAGAACTGCTACGTCGCCGATGAGGTGATCACTGCGAAATCCGGCATGAGGGTGCGGGTGGGCAACACCGACGCCGAGGGCAGGATGGCTATGGCCGACGCCCTCTATCATCTCAAGGAAATGGCCATGAACGCGGTGAACCCGCATCTGTTCACGATCGCCACGTTAACGGGCCACGCGGTGTTGACTACAGGCCCGGGATATTCAGTGAGTAACCGCGAAAACTCGCGTTTCGCTCGTTTACCGTTCTCGACCGCGTTTCGACCGAGTAGTTTCCCCACCAGCAGCAGCCAACAGTGGCCGCTTGAATTCCCGTTGCGCCGATCTGTTACGGCGCGATGTAACCCGCCTCGAAGCAACTGCAGATCCAAGTGTGTAGTTTTCACATATTTACGCGTGTCATCTTGCTACACGTTTCATTTGTGTGTTAATTTACGCAGCCAGACACATATATATACTACACTTACGGATTAAATTATTCGTTAAAAACGTGTCAAAATTCTTTGGAAACTCACGTGTGAGGGATTTAATATTTCCCTATCCATTTTCGCTTTCTTTCTAACAGAAAGTATATACTATTAATTAACTACGAACGTATGGAATTTTAAGGATAAATGATATCTCTTTCCCAAATGCACTTTTATAATAAGTTTGTCGTATTATAAATTTTCGTTATGCGTGTAATTACAATTATCTATAAGATTCGGTATTTTCTAATTACAAAGGACATTAATAATTAAACACATCCTTTCATTTTCGCACACTTTGTACAATGTATCGTATTATCAGAATGTCTATTCAAACCCGAAAAAAATTTCCTGATTTTCCAGATAATTTGTTAAAAATTCCAGGCAAAACGAACGTATTTTTAAATGTACCTTGCAAATGAATATATAAATTATGTAAGATCCTTAATATTCTCCACTCATAATAGTTTATAAATCATAAAATCAAATTAAAAAACATATGCGATACATAATACAGAGCTGTATACTGAAAAAAACGCCTTTCGCTGTCAGTTGATACCTGTCGTTGGAGGGAGATCTACAGAAGTAAGCCATTTTTCTTTATACCGGATCCGGTTTATCATTAGATTGGAAGTTATATGGTATGTCTTAATTAAACAAAATTACATTTAACATTTAACACGAAATCGTCATCTTCAACACTGAATATCGGATTTATCATAAAACCAATGTGCTCTAAACATCAGAGCAATATAATTAAATATTTAAAATATAACCGTAGAAAAAGAATCTATTTTAAACGTAAAAGAAGCGCTAATATATGAATATTAAACGAAACTTAGAAACAATCTCAAATATATAAATACATAGAATATTAATAAGTTAGTAATTTCTTATTAATTAAAATTAAAATTAATTTTTAAAAAATCTGTTTTTTCTACGATTCTTAATGAAGAAAACATTATTAAATAAAATTCAGCCAACTAAAACTTATCCATGAATAACGACGCGATAATGTGGCTTGCAGACAAATATCCGATAAAAGTTTCCGAGTTCCCCCGAGAATTCCCTGATTTTTACGAACATAAACAAATTTCCGGAAAATTCCAGGTTTCTCGGGTTTTTCCAGACGGTAGATATCTGAAATTATATACGGACGAGATGTATTAAATTACACGTTTGAATGCGTGAATTCATTTTTCTTCTGCGAGAAAATGTGTGTAATTTTTGCAGGAAGAATCAAATCGCATGCATAAACGTGGAATTTTACATAAACAAGCGTGTACTTACCACACTTAGATTTGCAGCGCGAGGTCGTAGGGAGAAATTAATCCCGACCGTGCGCCAGCGTCGCGACGGCGGAAGCGAACGCGAAAGTCGGTTTGCACGTCGAATCGGGCCACGGGAAATGCACGCGGACAGTTACGTGTTTGTTGATTCATCGCGGAAAGCGTAATTGGACGGGGTTATAAATGACCCAGATATATACCCCGGCATTCCCCCTTCCCTTCTCCGTGCCTTCGCGAAGTTATATCGAATCTCCGGGGTGAGGCGCGATATGAAGGCGTATGACTTCGTTATGAAGATCGCTGGCGCGGAAAGGCCGAATGCGATTTATCCCGCGGTCGCCTCGAATATCCCCCCCCCCTCTCACCGTGAAAAATGCTCCGTATCATTCTTCGGTATTTCCGAAAGTTCCGTATGTACATACACGTTACGTGTGACGAATCTTGTGCCGTAGATCGCGATGGACAATGCGGTGGCGCGAGCGAATTGCAACGCGGAGAAGCTGCAGACTTCAGGCGAGATGATGGGCGATCCGTTCGAGATATCGCGGATACGCAGGGAGGACTTCCACGTTCACCGGGGCCGCGCGGAGGGCGATGACGTCCTCCAGGCGTTGAATAGGCCCAGCTCGAAAACTCCGAGGGGTCATCAGGGGCCGGCCGCTTTTCTAATCAGAACGTCCGGATTGGACAAGGTATCGCGTCCTTAGTTTTATCGCTCTTAGCATCTCTTTACCGTTACTATCGCTGATAATGATAACAACTCGACTTTTTTAATTAACCGTTTGGAGAGAGTCGGCGCGAGACGCGCTCACAGGGCGACGTCTCTTAACGATTTGTGACTTTTAGCACGGCGTCGGGTCGGAGAAGCCTCTGAAGTACAGCCACCTGGACATAGCCGGTAGCGCGGGCGATTTTCCCGACCGACCGACCGGCTCGCCGATCCTGACGTTAGCTAAAGCCTTTCTTGTCGATAAAATTACGTCGGAGAGCGAAGATCAGTGATCTCGATGCCGACTGTTGCAAACAATCTGCCGTCGTTCACAGTTTCTCTACCTAAGACGTTATCTCCACGGAACTTCAGATACAGTTTCAACGCGAATTCGTTTCTTACAAAACGCGGGCGCACCTCGTTCTTTCTCACTGCCTCTCGAGACATACCGCGTAATTAGAGAGGAGTTTGGGAATTACAGATAAGAGCTCGATGAATCACGGAACTCGAGTGAACGGACGAGGGGGTCTCGACAGTCGCACGATTATCGAGCCCCCGTCCATCGGGAGCGATCTCAGCTTTCCTACGAGCCCTGATTAAAGTCTCGAAAAGATCGTCTACATCGAAGATGGCGACACTGCGGAGTAGAGAGTGAGGTTTTTCCAGCGGAACAAACCGTAACCCCGGGAGTAGGCGAAATGGATCATTCCCATTTCCTGCTCTCTACTGCCTTGCTACCAGCCGATACTCTACTCCTTACTTATTGTTGCCAACTTCCAATGTAGACGGTCTTAAAGTGCGATCTACAATGAGCAGCGAGAGTATATTCGTAAGAAATAAGAATAAGAAACTGACCGATCACGTTCGAATGTAAGGAGAATAATCGACTACAATTGGTTAATTTCTTACTTTCTTTTCTTACAAACATACTCCTACTGTTCATCGTAGACCACGTGTTAGACTTCTGAAGACGAAGATAATCGATATGCTCACTCGGTTCACGCTGCGCGTGCGCGGGCGGAATCAGACCCAAATCCCGGCGCGCCGTCAAGTCCCGCGGTCACGTGGTCCGCTCCCACTCCCGCGCGCTGCCATTGGCGCGAGCCGACCATGTGCTCGGCCGCGTCTGCGCGGTCATTCATCTCACTCGGGACGACCAGTCAAGCCGGAGCGAGCAGTTCGCGACGCGCTAGCGCGTATTGCGCATTATAAGGGGGCTTTGCTCGCCGCTCCGGCGAATAGCACGTCGAACGGCACTCGCCGACATCGAGCGTCCACGAAGAGGCTGCAACGCGCGAACGGGTCAACGAAACGAGAAGCATTCTTTTCGACGTGCGATCCTGCGTCATCCGCTTTTTCACATTCATCGAGACACCGTCGTTCGTTCTAGCGAGTTCCGTTATAGTCGAGTAACGCTTTGTTCGCCGCGCGAGTTACTTCAAATGCAGTTTTCACGAGCCACGTGTGACATCGTGATTCGAAGTTTTGTAATTCTTATTATACGTATAGAATGAATATCACGAGAAAGCTGGGAAATAAAGCCGGGCATGTTTCTGCAGATCCACTTGAATTTCGAATCGATCGGTCGGCTCGCGGACAGGCTCGCGTCTCAGAAATCCTCGGGAAAGCTCGTTAACCGCATCCTCGTCGTCACCACGCGTCAGCCAAGGTCGCCCGTTATACCAACTCCGCTCAGCCAACTCTCCCCAACTGAGTACAATGAATCTTTTATAGGCGATCGACTTAACGCTGGCACCACGCAAGTGGGCGTTAATGGCGGATTAAAAAGCTTTTCCATTACAATGACGTTTAAACACTCATTTACCCGCTCTCGCTCTCTCATTCGCCTCCTCCCTCCATTCCACCCTCCCTTTCCCCCTCGCCTCTTCCCTCGTCAATTTCCCCTTTCCTCTTTAACCCCCCTCCCCCCCTCTCGCTCTCCTTCTGACCCGTTTCGTATCGATTGCAGCACGGGGTTTGCAGCCGTGCCCCCCTGAAGTACACGCACATCGACTTATACGGGCACCTGCCACAGCCCCATTGCGAGCCGTACTGCGGCAATCCCGTCCTAGCCATGTCCTACTGCTACCTGATCCAAGGCAAGTGTCTGACGCTGCTGGAGACGCAGCCCGACGTCTCGTACGGCTCGCAGTACGTCTGCGAGCTCGACTGCAAGCCGGTCTGCGTAACGTCCTGCCGGCGACGCACCGAAGTAGCACCCCCCGAGCACCCCTGCGGAACGGCTTGCCCGCCGCACCCCAGGTGCCACGCGTTCACAGGTGCGACGCCTCACGAGCATCGTCAGCCGCCGACACCGGCGTCACCTCGCCGGCAATGAGGCCGTGGCCAGCGAACGTCGAAAAAGAGGAAACAGAGGGGAAAAAGGGCGGATTAAAGCGCGACCTGACAATACGTGTCGAGTTACGCGATATTCAAGCGATTCATCCGCGGGATTTACGAGGGCCGTTCTTCCGCGGCGAGTCGTTAATCTCGCCGTAGATTTTAAACCCATTTTTACTGCCCGTTTCGTCCGATTTATTTGCTAGCGCCGCGCGTCCTCGTTACCGGGGGCGCGTGTATTTTTGCGAATAAAGGAATATTTCAGCCCGAGCAGACTGCCGTGTTCTCTCGTCTCGGGCGCAACACGCTTCGAATTCCCGAGCGCAGGAAATGATTTCGCGCTCGGAGCCGTTCCGCGCGTGCGAGCGAGCGAGCGTTTTTACCGACGGAGCGGCGCAGGTAAGCCAGGTATCGATCAGATGACCAGGTGCACACCTGGAATCCGTAGCCAAGTCAGCGGTGTATCCGCGGTTGGTACGTCTCCCGCAGCGCGGCCGGTCGTTATCGAAGAACGGTCACCGCGAAAGAGTGCGTTATTAAAGCATTATCAGCGGTAAATATACCCGTTTAGCGTTTCCGCCGATCCTCGCACGCGAACGCACCGGACTTTACGGCAGATCGCGCTGTTTTTCGAGTCGCTTGTTTTCCAAATTGCAGTCAGGCAATTAACAGCGGCCCAAAGACGGATATTACGCTCGTGTAATTATAAACTTCGCCCGGAGCGGTAGGAAAGAACACGGTCATTAATTTCTTTCGACTTAATCACGTCAATTAGCGCGCTTGTAGATGATCGCGTGTCAAGATGATGATAATAATAATCGGAAGGGTAACAATAGCAATTTTGCAATAACACTTTCCACCATGCAAATGCGAGCGTTACCTAAATTATAAACTCGTATAATCAAGGTCTTCTATATATTTAACATCTCGTCTTGGGATATATTTTGTACATTCTCTTTACTTTAACACTTTGACGGTTGCCGTTACGTTTACGTGACTTTATTCTGCATAATGGCTTATAAAGAAATATTTTTCGATAATAATAATTTACATTTTATTATTTTACTAGAAGCTATATATGAAATTAAATGTACGGATTTGTGTACGGTAGGAAGAATATTTAAAAAATAAAAAATATTCGGGCACCAATCCTTATAGAAAAGTATTATTGGCTGTAATAAACTGTGTGATTAATTGTACGAGTGATAAAATTATTGGGCAACAATAATTTATCACTGACTAATTTATCACAGCTAGTAATACTCTTTTGTAAGAGACATATTTACTTAAACCTCTCTCTAAAGTCTTTTATTTAAATAGAATAAACAAGTGCCTTCGTGCGTAGCTAAGGATTTAAGAAAGTGTATATTTTCTCACCCGAGAAAAATATTTTCTTAGTATAAAAATATGTATATTGGTGTAAGTAAATATGTTATTAATACCCAATACGAATCAATATTATTAATTATTTTAATATTTTTTCTTTCAATGCACAAAGAGAAAGAAAGAGAAGTTTGTCTCCTTATATACCGTCTAAGCGAGCTGTCGAAATCTATCGGCAGCAAACGAAAATTTTTCCGAAATAACTGCGACCGTAAAAGTGTTAAAAGAATGCAAAACACCCGAAAAAATTGCTCTAACCGTAGAAATTGTTTTTTTTCTCAAACAAATCGCATCATGCGGAGGTCGCTCTTGGTTTTATCGTTACACCACCATCGATGGGTGAATATGCATTCGACTGGGAGATCACCGAGTATGCTTTATAAGCTCGACTCGCGCAGGAGAATGCCGTGGAAGGGAAACTTAATTACTGCCACGTCCTTTCTTAATTAAGAGAAAATGTTTGGCGTATCTCGCGGAGATTACCGCGAGCGAGGCAAACTTCCGTTTGCGTTACCGCGCGCTTGCTTTCTCACGATCGAAAACCCGATCCAAAACTAATCCCGGCGTCGTTTTACAAGATCGCGTTTGTGTTACGCCGACTATGGGAGGTCGACAGCGCGCGCGGAAGTATTTACGTAATTCCTTATCTTATCAATTAAAAGATAAATAAAGACGAAGAGAGAAAGAGAGAAAGAAGAATCGTCGGATCCGTAGAGTCGAAAATTCGACCTGGCGAAATTCGAGCTACGACCTGCCGAGGTACCGTCGCGAATTTACCCGAAGTGAAGCCGATATCACTCGCATTATTTACGTTTCGTGTCGTTGAACCTGAGTATCGATCATCGCGCGGGTACACGCGAAGGCGAACCGTCGTAGGCGAAGTCGGCACGCGAAAACGCGTCACCCGCGGGGAAACGGCAGGATAAGGCGGGGAAAAGGGGGAGGGAAGGCCAAGGGATAGCACACAGCTCACGGGCAGTAAACATAGTGGCAGGAGGCGGCAGCGTTATCAGCCCGGCCGGTACCGCGAGTTGACATTGTTTGAAGAACTTGAAGGCAACGCGAGTCGCCGGTTGCGAGAAGCGCGACGTGAGGTTCGCAAGAAGGTAACGCACACATACACACACACACACACACGCGTATATATACATGCACATACACAGAGCCGGGCGGGAGGGACGAAGGGCGTAGAGGGGTGAAGGAAGAGAGTGAGAGAGGAGGGGGCGGTAGGGGGCAGTGTGGCGGGTTCGACGGCCGGCTGGTGGCCCAGTGACCGGGACCGGTTCCCTCCGCGGTTCCTCCTTCCGCCTTCCTTGCAAACGCACAACTGCATCATCTCGACTCACCTCGCTTCGTCCTCTCCTGGCTCCTCGTCCCTCTCTCGGTTTCCCTCCTCTCTCTCTCTTCTTCTTTCTTTCCGTCTCCTTCTCTCTTCCTGTCGCCATCTCTATCATTCTCTCCCTGTCCTGCTCTCCCCGTCCGTCTTTCTCCTCCACCCGCCAACTCTCCACTCACCTCCTTCTCGATCCGACCCGGTGCGCGCCTTCGCGCTCGCTCCTCTCGTTCGCCCGGCCGGCCGGTCGGTCGACCGACCGGCCGCTTCTCTCTCTTCGCCGTCATCCACCTCATCGTTTTCTCTCCTCTTTCGCACGAAAGCGTTGCCACACGCGCGAAACGGCCCACCGCCTCTTCTCTCCCTCTCTCTCTCTCTCTCTCTCTCTCTCCGTTCTTCGTTGCTTCTCTCCGCCGCGATGCGATGTGATGCGATGCGCGATGCTCTCGCTTGCACCATTCCGCCACTCGCGCGCTCAACAGCAGTTATCTCGTTCTATCTTTCTCTCTCTCTCTCTCTTTCTCTCTCTCCCTCCCCCCTTTTTTCTTTCTCTTTCTCTTGTTCACCTCGTGAAGCAGAGGTCATGACGCGTATTCGCTTCTTCATTCTTCCTTCCCCCTCGCCTCCCCACCCGCCCCTACGTCAGCCGGCTGCCTCGCCGGCGTCGCCTCGTTCTCTTCTTTTTCTTCGTGCCTCGTAGTTCGTTCAATGATCGGGCCGGCGATATACCTACGTCGGGTGGACACGCAACTATTTATCCCACGCGACGACGTGGGCAGTCCGCGGGTAGGGAATGACGGCACCAGAAGATGAACGAACGAACGAACGTCGGTTCCGAATGGGAGCCGAGGTGTTATCATGCGCCGGCCGGCGAAGGGGGATCTTTAAATTCAGGATGGGCCTGGTCTCTCGGACACCTCCAGTCAAGGACTTGAAAGGAAAAGTAGTTCTATGTAGAGGAAAGAGGAGGAAGAAGAGAGACGAATGGAGTGAGTGAAAGAGAGAGAGAGAGAGAGAGAGAGGAAGGGAGAGCGAGAAGGAGCCGGAGGGAGAGATCGCGAGAGAAAGAGGAAGAGACGGTGAAAGAGGAGGAGGTGAGGGGGAAGGAAGTGAAAGTACGACGAGGCCAGCGTTACCGGCGCATCCGAGATTTCGTGCTACTGTCTTTCTTCCGTCTTCCTCGTCTTCCTCTTTCATGCACCTCTCCCTTCCGCCGCCGCCGCGTCTCTTCCCTGTTTGCATTCACACCTACGCTCGAAGAGAGCTCGCCGATAGTTTGTAGGTTCGCACGTAACGAGGCGCACCCGCGTGTGCGCGTGAGGCGCGAGCGCGCAGAAGGACGCGGATAACCGGCTGTTAAGCTGGAAGGAAAGTGATTTTCCCAAGGGCGCACCGACCCCCCCCTCGGGGTCACCGCGGCTCCTCCCAATCGTGATCTCCAGCGGACGGCGTTGATTTCGCGCGTGATATAAATCAGCAGGAAGATCGTCCTCGACGCTACTGTTCCGGCGACTCACGCTACCGCAAAACGACACAAGCGACGTAGATCCCAGCG